GTTACCGAGTTCGTTGATTCTTTGTTATTACTTATTAACGATCCTCGTGACCGTTCATAATTTTGTATTGCTGTCTGTCTGTCCGTTTGTCGCCCGTATGCACGATAACTTTGTGTAGAAACGTCCGATCATTTTGAAAATGGGTACGCATATTCTTATAGATATAAGAAAGGTCGCTATTGTTTTTCAGCTGAGTAAACTAACGCACCAAAAAGTTACAGCCCAAAAACTGCCCACACCTGAAAAGAAAATAATAATAAAAAAAAAAAATAAATAATAATAAATAAATGAAATGCATGTTATCATAAAATTGCCGGTATCATCGATGTGCACATCGAACCAAAACGGTGTATTTGAATTTGCTTTCCGTTTAGCACGGTTCGTATAACACAGGTCTGGAAACTCGAAACCTGTTTCATAATTTTTTTCCTTTATTTTATAGTGGCGGAGATAGTGTTAGCAATTTGCTACTCTTCCCACTCAACCCACTATACAATCACAAACAGCCATGCCTTACCTGGGAAATGGGAATCGAACCCAGGACCCTTGTAGCCAAAGTTAGAGCTACTATAGTAACGTAAGCTCATCTGAGCTACGCAGGTCGTGTATGTGTATGTGAGAAGTGAGGCCGTTACTGTCGCGTAGTATCGAAAGTCTTCAGGGCGGCGTGTGGGTCGAGAAATGTTTTCTGGCAACTGTCATGGTTGACTTGTAAACACAAGGAGTACCGCCCTTAGACCATACCGCCGTACGCAGAAAAATACCGCCGCTTTGAGAAAAATGACGAAACCGTGCGTTGTGGCGAAATCCAAACCGGGTACAAAATGTTAAACAAAAACTTCGTTTTTTAAAAGTGCCGGTGTGAAATTCGTAAAAAGTGTTTTGGTACGTTTATGTGGAGCTGCCGCTGCGGAATAGAACAGCGCTAAGAGTCGGCGATGAACGCAACGCTATTTTCTTTCCTTGCTTTGTTGTGTTTAATATTTGAGCATCGATTACGCTAGACGCACGATTCCCGAAGATGTGCTTTGTTCACATCGACTGACCTTGATGTGAACGTGAATGTGACTGCATTCTCGAACCTACCACATCGAGCGATAAGTTGATCGAACGCAACGACTGGTCTAGACCACTCGTTGCGTGAAAGTCATGCGCAGTTGCAGCTACAGGACGGATCTTGCAGCTGTTTTGCTATAGAGGTTATTCAGTGCCCTAACCTATAAATTCAGATATTTTC